AATCGCCAAACAAGTCAAAACAGTTGTGCGGCAAGAATAGAGGGATGCTAGAGCTAAATGTTTATATTCTACTGATAAAAACTTCTTCGAATAGTATAATATCGTACTTAGGTCTTAAACATCAATTTTACAAAAAATTAGAAAAAGTTATTAAAAAAAAAACAATGTGACAAGTTACAGATCGGTAGACCGTTGGTTCATTATTTGTCTAATATTCAAAAAATAATTGTACTTATTTTGTTTCACCACCCTTTTTCGACGGTCGCCGCTTGGACTAACAGGAGCAGAGACAAGAGGCAATATAATGACAGACACGGCGGACACAAACACAAGCAGATCAAAAAGACAAAGACATTTTTTTAATTTTTGTAATTAATTTGATATATTTTAGATCCTTGAACCCACTCCGAATTGAGATTTTTATTTTATTGACTGGAAATCAGAAAACCAAAGGTTTCCATATGAGTATATCACCACTATCATAATTCTCTTTTGGAACAAAGTAGCTCATTGCGGCACTACTGAGCATGCGCATTGAGTCGTTTTCATAAGATGCTGCGTCATTAAACAGTACCAGATTTATTTCCAATGTTGAAATAATTTTTTGCTTAATTAATTAGAAATTTTGATTTTCACAAACATATATTACGTTCAGCGTTGGTCTTACAGGTAATTTTAATCAGTCGAGATTGTTCATTCCACATAAAAATTGTATTTCTCATTTTGCAAAAAACAGTATCGAGTATCGAATAACCCACGGCTACAACCTTTCTAAAATATAATTTCATATACCTTAAATGGGACGCAATTAGAGCGTAATATACACTTTTAGTTGGATTAAAAACTATTTCTTTAGCCACAGTTCTAACTGCAAAACACCCAGAAAAAAGTTTTTTGTTTAGTAATTCTTCTGTATGGCTCTTACATTTCTAATTATTGCCTAAATGCCCAGAAGTTTTATTTTGTTTTTATAATAATTTCTTTATTGTCGACCTATTTCTAACATAGACGCTGATGAGCACACCACCCCCTAATATCAGAAATTAACAGAATCGTCTGGTGTTCCAAGTAGATGTAGAGATATTTCACGAGCCCAGCATCCATGGGCTCGGGACCGACGGCTTTATATCTCCTCCGAAAGATGACACACGCCACTTGACTGCTAAGTTGACCTGCTGCCCCAGAAGTTTTATTGTATCAGTATATTCAGAATTATTACTTTCTATAAAGCTTAAGTATTTTTAGTTTTCCATATTTTGACACAATAGTTGGCGTCGTAGCATAGGTACTTTGATTTTTTTAATGTCACAAGATATAAAGAACGCAAGGATAATTGCTGTACCATAAAATCGTAGTATCATCAGCAAATGGAGTGAAAGTATGGGCATGAGCATGTAGCACACTCCCAAATATTTATACAATAGCCCTTAAAGATTGCAGTGCCGTCGGGCTTGATTCCTGGGAATTCTAAAGATACGAAGCATGGTTATAACAACATGATAAATCTGAAAGGTAAAAACTACTTGTATGAAATAAAACACCATATAAAATATAAATATATATTTTAATTACTAATTAAAATGTACAAAATGCAATTTGTTGCACCTATTTATCACATTACATATTTAATAAAATTGAGCAATGATTGGTCCCTTTTCATTTATATATTTTATTTTATTACAAACTACATAATATCATTCCATTCTTTCAGTATATTAAATAATAATTTGTTACTTATATGTAATGAGGTTTTTAAAAATTCTCAAAAGAATTCAACATTTTTTAAACAATATCTAGTTTCTAAATGAATAATAATTAATATTATAGAATTAACTAGAAATTTTGAATTTATATACATATACAAATAATAAGCAATTTGTATGGTATTATTTTATAAATAAACAATTGTTTGACATTTCTCATTTATGCATAAATGAAAATAAATATATTATTTTTTAAGTAAAATAGGTTTATAGGTCCCATTGAGACTCTTCATAAACCATGTCACTTTTCCTAATCCAACATTGTCAATATTTGACATAATTTAGTAGCATGGCTTAGTAAATAAATAATTTTTTATTGCATTTAAAAAGTACGTACACGTTTTTTTATTTTGATTGCTATTTAGATGAAACGAAATTACAAAATTAAGAAATAGATTAACTCTAGAAACCATTTTATAATTAAAAGAAATATATGTACCTAAAATATAAAATATTTTAGGATTTCAACATCTTGAGTAGGTATAATTTCATTTTCAGGTATAAGCATTCTAACACTCATGTCTGATGTTCTTAAAACTACAATATAGAAATAAATACATTATATATTCTACAAAGAATTCCTTTGGTAAATGACATGGTTTTTGTACAGCCTCTTGCAATAGGTTTATTGTAGTTTTCAATTTAAGAGACAATTTTTTGTCCGTTTTATTTCAAATCTTTTGGTTATCCATACGTGTATTTTTTGTATTTTTTATATCATAATGCCGCTTTACTTTTTGGAAAAAATGTTACAATGTTGTTTCGCTGGAATACATCTGCTAATATTGTTATTCGATTGTTTATGTACCTAATTCATCAGGTAAAATAATTTTCTTTACAACTTATTGCTATTAACTTTTCGATTCTACGGTATGGAAATATTTAATATATTAAATGGTGACATTGTACGTAGCAAAGAATACAAACCCCATTGCCACGATTAAAGAAATCCCCTCTAACTCATACTCCTAATTAAAAGAAAAAAAATTGTCATAGTTTTGGCACTTCAATGGAAGGCTAAGCACAACGAAAATTTCCTTTCTGTATTATTGAATCGAATTATATAGTGTAATTTTTTTTCGGTTAAATAAAAAAGCAATAAGCAATTTTGTTAGGCATTATTAATAATAATTATCAATCATTAAAAATGTTGTAGAAAACAAATATGTTGAAATTTCTATATGACTGTCAGAATAGAAAGGAAAATAAGCCATAAATAAGCAGAGTTTGTTCACTAAAGTCTATATTATAATATATTTAATATAGATTTGTTTTTTACGAAATACGTATATAACACATACTGTATAGAAACACCTATAGACTCCGTTATTTGAATTTGAAATAATTAATTTTCCTCCCCTTAAATCTCTTACACGTCATACCTCCTCAAACACCGTCCTAGTGCAATAATGCGTTAACTTTATCAAATCAACAAAAACAGGAAGTAAATGAAGAACATTTTTAGTACCTTCTAAATTAAATTAGGTTTAACAATGTATAATATTTTAATTTTTTTGTTGGTCAAATTTGTTAATTTTGAAATTTTTATATATTACTTATCTCTTTAAGATTATGTGTGATATATTTTTAAAATCTTCTTTTCAAGCCATTTCAAATAGTGCCATACGACCCCCTTTTGCTAATAATTATATTCACGGATGTCTAAATTCTGTTTTAATTCATTTTACCCCAACTATCGGGACAACACAAATTTTTATATTCCTAAAAAACAAAGTATGTTTTGTTTTATGGTATTGATAGTATTCAAAAAAACATTATTAAAAAATATCAAATAACCAATTTAAAAATATTCTGTTTTAATATGTACCTACAAATATTTTGAGTAAAAAACTTCAAATATTTCGAATAAAACACTTTTATATATATAAAGGCAAGATAGTATATAGTTTGAATAAATTATATGTCATATTTTTATGGTCAACATATGCATCAATATTTTTTATGCAATTATATAAGTACTTGTGAACATTATCATTTAAACGGTACGTGCTGGCAAGATCCTGATTGGCTTATGTTGAAGTTAATATCTAATAAATGGCATGTAATAATTCGCAGAAGAGGAAAGGATTCGATATCAACGTTGCCAGTTACAGGTCGGTAACGTCCTATCAATCGGTGACTCGAATTGTGAATGTCAACATTTCTGAGTAATGAAACACTAAACTTTTTTAAATTCATTTCAACATAAAGTCATATTTTTACCCTGTGAATATACTTTGCAACGTGCCGTGCAACTGTTGGACAGATAGCAAATTACATGAGTGGGAGTAAAGGGAATGTAGAACAATACAAAATTGCCCAATCACAGATGTACCGCGTGTTGCTTACGAATTTATGTGAAATTAACGTTATAGGAATTTTTCTGTAATTTTATAGAAAATATAAGCTAAAGTAAAATTGGCGCAGTCGGTAGGATGATTTGTTCTAATAATTCGATTTGATGTAGCAAGAATTATGTATATATTAGGTTTAATACTAATTATATTGAGTTTGGAATGTAAAATTTTATAAAAACTATAATAATGCAGGTACTTTTTAGGTAACTCTAATTACAATCAAATACAAATTAAAAGTATTGCAAAATTGAATAGTGTTTTAAAAACCTCACATATTAGTGTCCTTTTTTCGTAGACCATACATAATATTACTCAATATTTTGAACAGTTTAATTAAGTCGTTTCAAAATTTTGATTACTTAATACTAATTTTGACTTACTTCACCCATCTTTACAGTACATTTGCTTACTAGTTGATACAATACGTTCCTTATTATTTAAAATACCTATGTTTTTCATATGATTAGAATTCGTATTTAATTTTCTACTATTATATATTTTTTTAACCGACATTAAAAACTAAGACTTTTGTTTGCTACAAGTTCACCGAGAATCGTATTATTTGTATCGGTGATTTTATAAAAATATGTCGCCAATATTACTAGATACTACTATTTCTACGTTGTTTATGGTAACAATTAGATAATCCACTGGCCAGATTTAAAACGAACTTATCGTAAAAGTCATTATATTAGAAACATACATATTTTTACAAAATCACCACTTCAAATTAAATTGATAAAATCTACCGCTACTGTTAAAATCTAATTCCAGCCGTTGGTTAAGTTCGGGTAAAAGGTTGGGGCAAGTCAACAATAGGGATATTAAATATACAAAAAGAATAGTCTCGACATTTCGATACTCTGTCGTTCGCTCCTCTTCAGACTTCTCCATCGATCCCTTCGGGACTCTCGTCGTTCAGTTTTAGTAAAGTGTATGTATCTCTTCGGTTTATGAATCTGTTTGACGAACTGTAGATGTACGCGCTACCGCGCCGGTGCAATTTTTTCATGCCTACAAAGAAAAACGGTATTTTACAAAAAAATGCTTAAATTATTTTCAGAAAACATTAAAAACCATCACTCCTTGGCTTAAAATTCTCTCAAATATAAACACACTTTTAAGTAAACACGATAAGTTTAATTTACCCAATACCCAATAAGGTTCTAAAGCAAGGATTCCTCTTTCATAAGACCTTGTTAGTATAGGTTGTTCAGTGGTCGCAACTCGCACAGTAGTAATAAAATGCGGACTCCCTCCCATCTGCAGTGTCCATACCGGAGAACTATTTGCAATACCGGAAGTTTTGAAGACTCGTGTGGATCAATATCAAAAAGTGATAATATGCACAGACTCACTTTCTGTCATCCAATATATAAAGGACATCTTTTCACAACATCCTATAGTGCAATCATACATTGGACCTGCCGTAAACTCGTCACCAAAAGCGTATATCTGTCGGCGTCAATTAGTGAAATCCGTCATTCCCTGAAATGACTAGTCATTTCACGTATTGCCGGCGAACATCGTAACTCTACATTTGGTATACCGTTTGCCTAATGGTTTCAGGCATTCCCTGTAATGACGAAATCGTTTCAGTCAAACGCTGTAACTAACTAAATGATTTAAGTTACTCTGTTTGCCGGGTTTAGTCGAACGCTGTAATTGTTGTTAACATCTGTGAGTGTTTTTTCTGGTGAAAACTGAAATGTCGAAGCATTCAGAATTGTTTTATAAGAAGTTAGATGACTATTACTCCAATCGAAGCAAGAAAAAACCTTGGAATATTGCGGAATTGACGGAGGTAAGTTGGTTTTTAGAATTTGAAACTTAACCTCAAATTACTGCAATTTACAAAATCACTTCAAATCCGTACACTGTTGTCAAGTTTAACACGGTTTTTTAATTAATTTGCTTGGGAAAAGAGTGATTTTATTGTCTGCTTTTTCATTGGGTTTTTGAGTATGTAGATTTTAATTATAAAACTAGTATTATATTTTACTTTGTATTCTTTTAGGTCGCCACAGAAATTCTGCCAGCTAAGCAAACTTCTAAAAAGAAAAAAACGAGAAGACAGTAGCATCTTTTATCTTTATATGACGTGTTGGAAGTGGGAGAAGAAAAAATTGTTATTAAAAAGGACAAATATGATGAAGGAAAGTATGTTTCACTGGTTAGTTACGAAAAAATATTTAATGTTGTTTGTGAAGCACACATAAATGTTGGTCATGGCGGTCGGGATAAAATAATACACAACTTAAAACAAAATATGACATTGGAAGATACGCAATAGAAACATTGCTCGAAACATGTGATGTTTGCCAAAAGAAAAAAACAAGTCTCATGCAAATTTGACTATAAAACCTATAATTTCAACAAACTTTAACTCTAGAGGACAAGTGGACCTTATAGATTTTCAATCTTGCCCAGACAATGTATAGCGTTGGTTGCTTAATTATCAAGATCACCTAACAAAATTTTTATTTTTACGTCCTCTTAAGACAAAAATCTGCGAATGAGGTAGCAAACGAACTGCTCAAAATATTTTTGGGAAATTGGTACACACTCCAGAGTGACAACGGTCGAGAATTCACAGCATCTGTGATATCGAAAATGGTGAAAATTTGGCCATCTTTAAAAATTCTTCATGGTTGACCAAGGCATCCACAATCACAGGGAAGCATAGAGAGAAGTAATCAAGTAATGGATGTACGACCATAGTTCAAAAAACTGGTCACTGGGCTGTTATTTCGTACAGTTTCAAAAGAATGTTTCCTACCACAAAGTAATTGGACGTTTACCATATAAAGCATTATTTAGAGTTTACCCTACAGCTTGATTTTCTCCTTTGAATCTACCTAGAGATTTGCTGGATAACGTGGAAAATAAAGATGACTTGCGTATGTTAGAAGAAGGACATATGGAAAATCAAACCCTGCAAGAAAAATCACAGTGTGATGAAATAGATGAACCACATGGCATTGGGGAATCTTTTGATGGTTACAATGATGTTGCCGAGGATGTTGTTCACTCGATTGCTGAGCATCAAGAAGAAATAGAAACGTTGGTGATTACCAATGAAAACACAAAAGAAATATTTAGTCGGGAAGAAGTTATGTTATGCATTACATGCTCTAAAGATGGAGGTAAATGTATATTATGTCAAAATATAGCAATAATTGAATAAAACAGACATGATGCAAGCCGGGGCCAAACGCGAGCAGCAGAAAAAAATGCTTGCAATACTGCAAAAAAACTTCTACCAGTAAATATAGGCTCGTGCGTCCTTTTACCTATTGATAAAATTGATAGAGGTCCTTCTGACATGCAAAATTAGATGTGTGTTGTAACAGATTACAAAAATGGGGTCTGTCAAGTTGGATGTGTATCTGGTCGAATCACATCATGGTTCAATAAACCTGATTTAATGGAAACCAAAGAGGCATTTCTTCAAGTAGATGAGGACCCTGAACAGTTTCTATAAATACGAGAAGCTACGCAGTCGCTGTCACTTTCCGGAGATCAAGGATACTTTAAGTGTTCATGTAAGCCAGCGAAAAAACAATGTTTATCAAACAGATGTGTTTGTGTGAGAAAAAGTTCTTTGTAATTCAAGGTGTCATAAAAGCGCACCTTCTACTAATAAATAATAAACCATATTATCAATCATTTTATAGTTTTCATGTAGCTTTTATTTTATTTCGTTTCAATTTGTACGGTCTATGATTTTTTTTATAGTATGTATGCTCTAGATAGGCGAATTTAATCTCAGAATATTTTTTTTTGTCCACACCATAATCCTGTGTAATTACACACTGACAATAAATGAGTTTGTTTTAAATTTAATACTTAATACCCTTTCCTGTATTATTGGCAACACTGTCCTAATTACAATGATTGACTAAACCTGGCAAACAGAGTAACTTAAATCATTTATTTAGTTACAGCGTTTGACTGAAAGGATTCCGTCATTACTGGGAATGCCTGAAACCATTTACAAAATGTAGAGTTACGCTGTTTGCCAACAATACGTGAAATGACTAGGCATTTCAGGGAATGACGGATTTCACTAATTGACGCCGACATATCCATTGTGTGGCGTCGGATGAAGGTCAAGATGTTATCTGATGTCTATTCGGTACAGAAAACCGTGTATGTGTGAACGCGTCAATGTTCTGTATATACTTTGATGCCAGATATCAGGCGCCGTATATACGGGATCCGGCACGTGTGAAAGGAGCATTAGAGAAAGTTGCTTCAAAATAATTTTGAAAATCATATCTAAAAGATTAAAAAACGCATTTAAAAACAACCAAATTTATCATTAAGTAAGTATAGGAAATAGGAGTGGAACAAAAAGTTTTTGTCGTTTTTATTTATCGAGATAATCAAATTCGACCTCGTGGATTTAATATAATACACATACAATGTATCGCAAAAAAGTCAGCACCATATAGAAAACTATTTATTTTTTTGTTAATTTCTCATAAAATTGTATTCTTTATAAAAATTGCTGCAAGACCTAAAACTTCATAAATATTAAAACTGGTCAAAGTAGGTACCTCATAGTAGGTCAAAAAATATAACTTCAATGTGTAGAAAAATCGTTATTATTAATTTATGATCAAATTTTATTCGTTACAAAAAATTCTGCTTCTCCAGAAAATAAGATTACATATAAAAGTCTTAGATCAGAAGTTAATAAAACATGAAAATGTTATTTAAAGCATAATGCTTTGTATTCACTATTTGCCTAATAATAAGTTTGGTTATTTCTAAATAATAATAAATTTGCTGCCTTAATATAACGTTTCTTTAATCTTTTTGATAAGTGGATATGATTTTAAATTAACTTTCTCTAACTGGAATATTTGCAACCAAAATAACAATTATTTCAAATACTATTTATATCCAACCAGAGATAACAGGAGATGTAACTACTAACAAATATCGTGCCGTCCTGAATAATACATATTCTAAGGAACACAGGAGGGTATAATATCCGCTGTTGTCATATGCCTATTTCATTATTCTCGTTTTGTTTACAAAATTATTTACATATTAAAAAAGCTAAAATAATTCAACCTACTTTATTGCAACTGAACCTAAAAAATATTGAATCATTAGTTATATCAAATTTAACTAAATTAGATGTAATTTCACTAAATTAGATGTAATAATTTTCAATAAATTCCAAAACCTAGTCATGTTAGGTTGAAAATGGCATCAGGGCTTACACCGGCATGGATATTTATGTTGTTTATTACAAGCGTACAGCGGCTTACACATTTATTCACTAATAAAAAAAAGTTGTATCTGCGTAAAATTTTTCTCTTAGAGAGGGGATTCTTACTTCTCACCTTTCGTCTCCTCGCCGAGTCCCTACAAATAGAGCGTTATGATTGTCAAATTAATCTTGGTATCGTGAATATTATATTTTATGAATGAGTCGTTATATCTCTGTTATCTCTGTATCCAACTCAGTAACTAAGTGGACGAAACAAGAGTTTATTCTATTTTTTTAATTCCTGCGAGTCGTTAATTTATAATGCTTTTTTTTAGTTAAGTACTTTATTGAATGCTACGAAAAAAGGTACGCAAATTTCGCGGAACATAGCTTAAGAAACGCTGCTAATGCACAGTTGATAATTATTTGTTTTTAAAAAGAAAGCAACGAGATGTGGTTTTAGCTGTATGAGAAAATGTTCGCCAAAAAAAGATTCTTTAATGTGAATCTTCCTGAATGGTCGTACGTTTGTAACATATGCCCAGAATTTCTTTGAATATTTACATAATGCTTACAATAGATAAAGCACATAACTAACACTGGATGCTAAAGAACAAGTATTCGAGGCCGTTGAAATTAGGCCAGAAAAAATGGCCTGAATTAAGGTTTAGTTGAAATCCCACTCGTTGTGAAGCTCCTAGGCTTATTGCACTTCCCTCAGTTTCTACCCCATCAGGTTAATATTATTGATCTTGTGAATGCAACAACAGAGGTTTTTACCGAGTTTGTGGACATTTTCTCTGCTTTTACGAAGATACTTAGTGCTTGCTGTATCCTTTCGGAAACAACGGCCCCAAATTTATTATTTACTACGATACTTATATCGTCTGTAAATTTTTTGACATTCAAATTTTCTCATAAGAGATCATTAACCACCAAGGTCCACATGAGTGGAACTAAAACTGTACCCTGCGGGCATCTCTTGTTAACTGAAGTCGTTCTTGTTTTGTTAAAGGGATTACTGGTAGGGGTAGGGGTAGGGGTAGGGGTTTTATGCCTAAGCACAAATTAAACCCGCTACGCCACAAATATTTCAGAATTGAATACACAATATTAAGTATCATCAATTAAAAAATATTTCTCATGAATTTTGATCCCTTCAGATTTGATTTGAGATTTTTGGTAAGTAATCAAATATAGAATAATGATCGGGAAAAGGGGAAATTGACCCATTTGTAAATTTTAGAACCTTTTAGAATTTAATGCTAAAATAATACCCTGTATTCAAAAAAATTATGACAAGAGAATTTGGTAACATAGTTCTTAATATGTACGTCAATCAGTCAAACTGGTGTAAATACATCAGGGACTAAGACTTTTATGAGATTTGAGAGATTTATTGGTCGGCACGGTGGTGTAGCGGTCTATCGCGCTTATATTCATTTATAGGCAAGTTTATGAGTCTGAGACTGCTGGGTTTCGAATCCCAGACCAGACCATGTGGATTTTTAATTAAATTGCATGGTTCGGTTTAGGATTTGATGTGTGGCGTATTAATAGAAATTCAATTTCTGTTGATATGACATGCAGATTAAAAAAATTCGCCATACATTACCGTCTCGATGATGGTGGGTGAGGTTTTCCGGGTTTTCCTCACCTGTAAGTCAAATGGCACCATCAATCATCTTTAAGTCGTCCCGGAGCGCCACGGCAAATAATAATAATAGCCGTCCCTTTCCCCGGACAAGCTCAGCTTTTGGGGTTAAAATTCACTCGTAAGGGGGTGAATTAGGGAGAGTATTATTATTATTATTGATTGAAGGATTTATTCTTAATTAAAGGATCTATTCTTGATTGAAGGATTTATTGGGCTTCTACTTTTTTCGACAGTAGCAAATAAGTTTATAATGCCTAATAATACTATACGTATACCTAATATTTCCTTATATTCCTGCGACATAAATACTTGCTTATATTAATCATAAGTGAAAGTATATTTACCTATTTCAATTGTTTCTTTCGTAAATACTAATGACTTGTAAGCATTAACGAATACCCCTAAAATAACACATGTTCCTAAAAATATGCACCCGTATGTCATTAACGGGCAGGCGACGTCAGCAAATGTCGTAGCCAGGTATACCCATCTTCTTATGGCTGGTGTCAAATCATCGATACCCTAAAAATACAAGTTCAATAAGTATTGTCGTTATCTACAAATTATAGTAATGATTTTAAATTTATTGATCAATGATTTTGATGAAAAAATTATCCAGTTCAACTTACTTCTTCAATCCACATTATTGGAAAAATTATACTTGGAAAATCTTTGACCATGGTAATGTAGGGAGCTTGGTCTACTTTTAGGTTAAGCTGTATTCTAATTTGCCCTTCTATAGGTACTCCCAGTTTCTAAAAGAGATAAAAAAGAATAATATCTTGTATATCTAGGCAGTAAAGCGACTGTGTTCCAAGCCGAGTAAAGATATGGACAGGCGAGGCGAAGCCAAGCCTGGATACTTTGCGAGGCCTCGAAAACCACTTTACTGTCGTGGTTTACATACTATTTTTTATCCTGAACCAACAGAAAACTTTATACTAAAATGAAATGATTATTATTACTACTTCAAAAGAAATTTGAATTTAAATAAGCAAGTCCGCATTGGTACCAACCACAAAAATGACAAATGTTTTAGAAACTACTACTAGAACTACTTGACGGGCAACACATACAATGTAATGTGTATTGCAGCATGTGACCTATCTTTATAATTTATTTTGAAAAAATTACTACAACTTGTCTACTCTACTGATAGATAGATAGATATCACTAAACACATAACCTGTAGCAGAATAAACAAGTTTTTAGTCTTTATAAACAATGCAAAATAGTTATTTATGCAACAAGTGCAAAAAGTAAGTGTTTATTGCACGCGACGTGAAATTGTCATCGAGTGATATAAACACTTTTTGCACGAGTTGCATACAATATATTTTCTACGTTCATGCAAAAACCAAAAAATGTTTTATTTAGGCGACACTAAGTGCAGAAGAATAAGAAGCGTAATTTAATAGCAAAATATTTAATAACTAATAATTAGCATCGATTAACATTGACAAAGTACTATAACTATGTTAAGCAAAATACATTTTTTATTAATTTATTTACTAAATGATTGAAAATAATATAAAATATGGAATTGTTTTTAAAACGTAATACAATCTCACAGAAAATGAAATTGGACTAAATATTTGGCGTCGATTTGAATATTTATGTTTGTCATGATCATAAAACGCTGTAGTAAAATGACAGATGAGTGCAATAAAATTTTTGTTGTACTAGTGCAATAAATAACCAGTTTTTTCACTAAATATAGTTCAATAAAGTTTTGTTTTTAGCATGAACGTAGAAAATAATAATTTAATAATAAATTGTGAAACAAACTGTCAAAATTAATTGGTGTACCATCTAGCGGCAGATTATTGCGATTATTTTACTGGCTAGCCATTTCTAGTTATTTTGCCGGCCTTGCAAAGAAAATATGCGTTTTGATGCCACTATAGAGACGACAAAATTGAGTTCCCTGTTGGTGTAGGATAAAAAATAACTAACGTTTTACCATTGCATTTAGATAAGATACTAGAACAACCTTATGGACGTTTTACTGGAAGCAATTCTGTCGCGACGTCTGTTAGAACAAGTACAGAACTTCATCAAAATGGCCCGAGCGCTAGTTCCTCGATCATTGAATATAGAATTCTTTATACATAATGTTTACTTAATTTTTAAATTCATTTGGGTAGACTGTCAAATTTAAAATAAAGATTGTTTATATTCTCTACAAGTGTAAATTAAAAATTAAAAAAAACCGACTTCAAAAACGTGCAGATGCCATCACAACATCTTAACCAAATTTATATGGGATCACCCCTGAGGTACCCCCTTTCTAACAAAAAAAGAATGACATAAATCGGACAAGATAGTAAAACATACATAAAAAATGAAGAGTTTGAGGATTTTCTCATGGACCCAATTTTTAGATTTTGACCAAATTTATATGGGACCACCCCTGAAGTAGCCCCTTTCGAACAAAAAAATAATTATTGAAATCGGACACCGTGTTAAAGAATTATCGCTGAACATACATTAAAAAAAAAAAAAAAAAAAAAAAAAAAAAAAATATCGCGACGAATTGATAACCTCCTCCTTTTTTAAAGTCGGTTAAAAATGATGTTAAATCGTAAATAAATGTTCATGAAGCATAGCATAATTAAACTCTTTTCTCATTTTTAAAACAAATATTCTGAATCAACTATCGGTCCATCTATTAGTAAACAGAGAAATTACGTTCGTTAATCAGTTTCAACAACCGTTCGATGCATTACCGTAATCTATGGTTCGATGGATTGGTATAAGACAAAAAAATTATCAAAGACATGACTTGGACACCACGGAGCTTGCTGCCATCTATTGATACTGTCCATTGTCATCCAAGATAATTTGCATTGGTATTGTTTTACTAGTTGATCTAAATACAATGGTTGTACCGTAAGTACCGTTAATTTTTTAAAAATTGTTTCTGAATTTTAGGTCTGATGATAGCCAAGAAAGCAGAATCTAGTTAAAATTGACTGTTATTTTCATTAATAAACCTTTATATGTGGTATAGATTTTTAGTTTTATTCATTCTAAATATAGAATAATACTTTCTCATTAAAAACTCCTTTTCTATTTTGATAACAGTATTCTATTTCAAAGTAGTTCAAGATGTTATAAAATCGATTTTGATGTTTTTACGATGGTTATTAGCTACTATGATTATCTAGATAATCTTTTACCAACTTTTCTAAATTAGGGAAAGACACTATAAGTACTTACTGGTTGAATTTTAAAGTAAGATTCATGCTTTTCTCTGTCTGCGCTTAGACCTTCGAACGGTTTTGCCAAGCTTGGATCAGCGTTCAAAAAATGTGGAAAAGACAAATATACAGGCGCATCTGAAAACAAAGTTTATTGATAAATATATATTTTTATACACATGTCCTTAAATTCTAAAGTTTTAAAAAATAATGATATGTTTGGTTATGGTTCATTTAAAGGATAATACAAGGACAAAACCCAATAAACCAAATACATAGCATTGACAATACAAAGCTATACAAGCAATAAAAAAAGACAAGATTCTAGGAATGCCTACTGATATACGCATAACCACTTACAAACTTGAAATAAATTTTCAAAATCAAATAGCAGCCCGAGAATCCCGGAAATTGGCTAAACTCGTCTGGTATACAGACACTTCAGGAACCAAAAAATGCAAAAAGAGTCTCAGGAATGGTGAAACAGAATTGAGAAACAGAAATAGAATTGAGACAGGTCAAAGAGATCATTAATGAACCATCGGTGATAAAACGATAAAGCCTAAGAAGGCACATGAGTGTCATTAATTCAGCAGAAGAAGCAACATTGTACAGGTTCTGTGAAGAAGAAAAGTTAACATTAGGTGAAGAAAATCCAGATGCATGTAATTACACACAGCAGCCAATGTCAAAGCTATTAAGTCTATGCTTTACGACATACTTTAAATAACGAAGCCCCACAATCTGTCCAAAAAGGTTACGGTGGACAAGGACGAATAATGTTCAACTTTTTTCGAATCTAATCTAACGTACATTGAACCACAGAATGTTGCGAACAGGGCATTCCATGCTAGAAGCTCCAAAAAAAGGTGGAAGATCACGTTATTTCAACCTCCAGTAGTGCGTAAGAATAGTGAGAAGTGAGAAAAACACAGTCTCTTTGAAAAGTAGCCAGAGCGAATAATAATACCCACCAGACAGTTTTCAGAATTTTTGATAAGAAGTAGTCAAACATATCGTTAAAGACTAAAATGTCGAAACTGGTCAGAACACCACGTTGTTGCCAAAATATTCCACGTATCCAGTTCGCAAATAAGTCGATCATATTTTTTTATTAATTAATTTAACGTGAGTTTATTTCTAATTACGAGGTACGAGCTTTAAACACCGGCGTTGGTGCGCATGCTACCTCCAAATATTAGAAATTTAGCCGAATCATCTACTCTTCCAACAAGGTGGTACCTGTGAAAGATGGCACACCCCACGCTTTACCCTGTACTCATTGATTTAAAGCCAGCCAGCTATGGTATCCAACTACGTGGGCAGTTTGTTTGAGCTTTATAGGTACGCCAACTTTCCTTAAAATAGTCACTCAATCAAATACTAATTCTATTGAGCCCTAGTCATTGATCGAGAAAAATTAATTTTCCATATGAAATCCACATATTGCAATATTATCATTCATTTAAATACATTTAAAATTCACATTTAAGATTTTCTAAATCCTCCAATATATTTAAATGACTTTCCAATTTTAATAGTTCATCATGAAACCAGTTATTTAAAAATGTCAAAGTTATATCTCTAACTCATCTCCTCGAATCACACCTGGGTAGCTATTCACTAGGTCATGGGAGCGCTCCCATGGGAGTGTTCCCATATATTTTGTTCTCTTACTCTTAGGTGGGTATATCGTGCTTACTCCGACCTAACTACACATGTACCTGGGCTAAAAGTGAGTAAGCACGATATACCCACCTATAGCTATCCAGACTTACTTAACTTACACCTTTCTCTTTATTACCGTCAGCAGGTGACACTTGATATCGTTGACATTCGAGCCCACGGTTCGTAGCACCGACCTTGATATTAAACTGGATAACTATATGACATAAACCCTACTCCTAATTTCTAAGCCAACATGGGTGAAAACAATGGTCGGTGCGCATGACAATTTGGACGTGAGGCTGTCAATTACGAGCATTCTACGTCACGTTTCTAACGAGCGTACTACGACAAATTATATTATTTTTTATTAATAACGCGCTATTTTAATATTTATTATTATTGGCACATTTGTTTCAGCTGCGTATTAATAAAAAATCATTTTTGAGTGATTTTCTTAAATTAAAAGGTGTCATAGTTGAATGTAATAAGTGTTAAATTTAATTTTGATGTCCCTTTTTAGTGCATTTCGATACGCACATGTAGGCGCCAAAGTGTCAATAATACCTCGCTCTGCGGCTTGATTTTGTTGATCGGCTTTGTTCCTCCAGTTTAATATATCAGTGGTTCGTAGTCTCAAAGGCTACCTCGTCAGGTCGCTATGGACGGGGATATGACGTCACAGAATAAAAATATTCTTCTTGGAGTCGTACATTCGTTTTTTAAAAAATCTAATATTTTATTGCTATTTGGTGGTGTTTATATTTTTATTTTTGAACTTTGTTGTAGTGTTAGAGTTTTTGTAATATCAGTAGTTTGATTTCTTGAAAGACAAGCTACAAAACAGCAAGGAAAAGTCAAGTAATGATTTCCATTAAATTTCAAATGAATTACTTTTTATTTGAATTATAACGAGAAATATTATTGTGTGAATGGTTTATATTAAATATTTTGAGTTAGGGTACGGCATCCGAGCCGAATTCGGATCACATATTGTTTATATCCTGAAATATTTTGAAATTTTGGTAAGTCTGGAGCGAGCCGTAGTGTTGATGTTGGCAAACACATTTTTACAAACACAAAATCTATTAGAAGAAAGGGACCGAGCCTAAACTGAAATTAAAGGCTAATGGTAAGATTTTAAAGTATTATTCTGAAAATATTTTTTCTATTATTAAACTAATTACAGCTTTGTCCACTCTACATTTAAAAGCAGATGAGATGGATTCTTACAAGCATTAAACACAACTAAGAGCAAGAAAAGTCAAAGGGCTTTACTAAAAGAACATACATTATTGAAAAATGGGTAGCCTACAGAAAGTTTTTAGTAAAAAGTAGTTGTTAAAAATCATTTTAAAATAGAAAACAAGGGCTTTTAAGTAAAAGGTGCTGCATTTACCTCAGAAATACTCTGAAGTATCCCTTGCTGGGGATTTTAACTTTACAAAAGAGCACTACTTAAATAAATCTAAGATATGGTCTTTTGGATGATGTTGTGAGAGTGATGGATATTTCTGAAATTTTGAAGACTGAATTGCAGTTTCTTCAATGCTGCGTCTATAAATTTATATTCTCAAATATCAAAGATAAAACTGGGTTTAATGAATGTTGGAACTTTTTTATCATAATATTTTCTGTAACGTTTATTTTGTATTTTTAAAATTAGAGAGGGAAATATGTGCTTCATGTTAATTCATCTGTGTATCTTCCTACCAAATATTTCCTCTTTATATAATTAAACAGATTGAACTTTGACTTACCAAACTGACAAGGGCTTATATTTTGTAAACCCTTAGGTGGACAATATTCATTACCGGGACAGTAACATTTGTTTTCAGGCTCTTTATCAACTGATTCAAAAATATTTTCTGGCGGTGTGTATAAATCAGCAGAAATTCCTAAAAAAAAAATAAACTTAATATTTCAGTAATTCGTAAAAAGAAGAAAATTTAGTTTTTAAAATAAATTTATTATTTTGTTAAAGAACATAACAAAGCATGATTGGAAATATATTTTAAAAATAAGTCAGGGAAATGGCGTCCGTTCAGGCGTACACATTCGTCCAATCGTTTCGCAGCATTGCCAAAGTAATTTGATCCACCTCCTGTCAGATATTTTCTTTCAAGATTTGAATTGTAGTAGCCCTACAAGAAAAACGCACCTTGTGGGGGTATGGTGAATGGAGAGGCTAGGTGATGTCCCCATTTCGAGATATCAAAGGATTTGATAAAACGCCTTCACAGCGTACGCGCGCTACTAAAAGGTCCAACGTTCCATTATTTCTAAATGCCAATAAAGAGGAAACATGGCAGATAATGTTCCTACCACCTCCTAACGATACGGCACGGTTGCTGAGTTTTTAAAATTGCTTGATATTCTGCCCCATTCTATAGTTTATGATGAATTTGCGTTGCTATCTATGTTTCAAATCGAAAGTATCTGTTACTGTTTGTTAATGACGAAACATCCCTATTATAAAAACCGTATGTGTATACTAAACGATAAATTGATTGATTTCCGAATATATATTATTTAAAAATCAAATTTTTAACCAAATTTGAGATAAGCATAACTAGTTTGTTTTTTTGTTAACGTGCAGTAACTTGTCATGCAGAGTACCTACTGCTTCATAATATTAGATATATTAATTCCTTTAAAGTATTAGTTAATTATTTGTGAATCAAATCTAATGTAAATGTTCCGGTCTGAATCAATTACTTCATGTTCACTGTTCGCAAATAATTGTGTTGTTAGAACATTTGGGCGACTGCAGAATTTTTGATGCTTAAATTTTCAATTTCTTTTCTTATGGTGGTTAGCGGTATGTCATGTTGAATGACCCTGTTTACCATTTGTCTTAGTGCGTGAACGATTACGTTTAGAATGGTTAGAACATTTCTAGTTTAGAGTTAGTTGCAGAGCCCAGAGTTGCATGCTATATTTCTGGGCAGGTTTAAGGATGGTACCTTATTTCCTTTTAATAAGCCATTATTTTCATCTGAATTTCAGTCAAAGTTTGCTTACATTTTGCAAAAGCTTGGCGATGACCCGTTACTTTACCATATTTTAGATTCCGTGTGTCTAGCATTCACTCTTGTTTCTTTTAGCGGCTCTAAACACTTTAAACGCTTTGATACTTCCCAAGGACCTCTGAATTAAAATTAATTTCCTACACCGTTCGACAAAACTAAACTTCAGGCCCCATTACGCAATTTAGCAATGACATAATCTAAGTACAGTTTTTCGCATTATTTATTTTCGATCACGGGAATGCATTTTAGAAACTTGTAAGGAGCTTGTAAGGAGCATCTATTTGTCTAACCGTTCGACAAAACTAAACTTCAGGCCCCATTACGCAATTTAGCAATGACATAATCTAAGTACAGTTTTTCGCATTATTTATTTTCGATCACGGGAATGCATTTTAGAAACTTGTAAGGAGCTTGTAAGGAGCATCTATTTGTCTATATTACAGAGTTAAAACTGATTTCAATTGATTTGGTGTTTTTGACTCTTGTAATTGATGCGCACATTGACGGACTTTTTTTGGCTATCTAATACAAAAACAATGATCAACGAAATGATCAAGAACGGAGATAAAATGTTTATATTAAAACCATTAAACATGGATAGCGTTATTTTATTTATGCATCACCGATTTTTAAATTAATAGTAAATACACTCTTTCTAATATAAAAGCAGCTTTAATGTTTTATTAAAAGTTAGTTTACTCGAAATATAGCCATGCAAACTTTTGGCAGTTTTCCATTTTTAAAGTTAATTTTTAATGGAATAAAAAATATATAAGTGTAAAGGTTAAATCGGTGTTTCTATGGAATCACTTTTCCCCAATTTGTTTTTTTTTAAATCACAAAATTTTATTTATTTATAATAATTTTCTCAATATTTTTATAAAAAAATATTGAAAAAGTGACATATTTAACCTTTACCTACATACATGTTCACATTTTTTAATTCATTAAAAATAAAAAATAAGCTTTAAAAATGGGGGCTATTTTTTGAATTAGAGACAATTGCGTAAATAAACCTATTAATATTATTAGGCTATGTATATTTAATGCACCGTCTTTGTTTGAATAAAGATTTTGACAAAGCAATTTAATACATTTGGATAACAAATATTAATAATAAATAATAATTTTTTGATATTTGATATACCACCTATGCTAACTCTGTTATTTTTCTTCGGAATTTTCTTTCAGAAACAAAAGTGTTTATCACGCATATGACTCACATTCTCCAATATTATGTTCTAGTACACTAATTTATTTTTCTTCAGACTTATTTAATAAATTTAAATGTACTGTTATCATCCAATCAATATTCCACTTTTATTCTAGGCGTTTTCTAATATTCATCGTTGCCATCTAGCATCCATTAAAACTGTTCTTTTATCCATAAAATTTTTTTAGAATACATCATGTTCTTAAATTCAACCTAATTCTCAGATGGTTGTCACCAAATCTATCAACTTCCTTTGTGTTGATGCACTGATGGATCACGTGACATAACCTTAAATTATTAATTATTATTAAAGAGATAAGAAAATAGGAAAAGTTCGCCCAAAATTCTTAATAATATGAGTAAAAAAACTTACTGGGTTTTATTAACCCATTCTCTAAGTGTACTAACTTTTAAAATAAGATTGTCAGCATTAGATATACAACAAGCAAATGAAGGCAAGTACATTTTTTTTTCAATTATTGTATTGCCCATACTTGTTCTTAGTTTTTATGCTTATCAAAAAGTGCTTAGTCGGAAATTTATTGCTCACGTGATCTATCATCAGTCCATCATTTTGTTGAATATTAGAAAACGCCTTCTCTCACTCATTAATTTTTATTTTGTTAGGATGTTATTAACATAATAGTCAAAAGCCTAGCCGATTGAAAGAGGTGTTTACTATCTAAGGATATTATCGCTTCAGTACACACGAAATACACATCAGTATGTGTTGGTTATAATTTTTGGTAGTGACTAGTATTCAATTCCCGGAATAGCTAAACACCAGCCGTTTCAAAGCAGTCCACTACGATTCACATACACTCAGCAAGAATAGTAGACGTCAGGAAGGTATAACCTGATTGGCAAATCTTTAGTAATTTTTCTTGAGACCGTAACATACCGGTATCCTTAGTCTAAGCCGGTATCTTAACCTTAACCTAACACTCTTGGTTCTTATTTCTCCATATTCTTTGACATTGACAAATGCTTACTGTATTTCATTTGTTACTATCCATGTAGCAATAAGTTGCTAAGTGCTTTGTCAAATTGTTTCAAATTTTTGTCAAAAGTTTATTCAAGAGCCATTTGCAACCTGAATGGACAGTTGACTTTTATGAAACATCGTACTCTACTTTTTGGTAGTTTTAGGATTCCATCTGCCTTAGGTATTTTTTCTAACCTCCTTTTTACAAATTTGTCGACCTTCTTATTATTCTCAGATACCCAAATTAGTTGCACTATATTCCAAACCAACAAAATCCTTAGTTTTTCTAAGCACTCCCATACCGTCTTCGACGTATATGTACGACTCGATATAGTCTTAAGAGCCCGATATTGCATGGATATCTGCTGGTTTTCTGTAGTTTTCCCATTTCTGATCTTGTACAATGCATAATTGTAGAAACCACGGCATAAAATATTGAGGAATATTTGTTTATTGAATTGATAAGGCTGGTATCTGAATTTATTTTGGAAAGTATTTTAGTTTCTGTGCCTAATCCAGGTTTATTAAGTCGGTTGGAATTTGGTTCGCGTATGATAATCTCCATTCTGTTAGCTGTTAGAACCTCAAAAGTATTGTTGAAGGAGTATCGCTTGGTTTTGTGATATGTTCTCATGTCTGACAAATACTTCGTGCCAAATATCTAACATCAATTTAATTGCTAAAAGTTAGATGTTATGGATCACTTGTTATTTGTATGTTATGTTTACTAAATTACTATTTAGCTTTTTTGACTAGAAAGCAATTGTTCACATCATCAGTTGTTCACTGTCATTTGATCACAGCAATCAACACAACTAAACCTTAACCATTCTAACAGATCGTTACTTAGAATCGCCGGTATTTTCTCTTTAAACTGATCTAACAATTAGGTAGGAGTAGAGAGAAAAGAAAATATAAATATTTACCATGTTTTGAAACAGGTCCTCGATACTTCATTGGCAAGATCCTACAAATATCCTTATCATATAGATACACCATATCGGACTTGGTAAAATACCGCGGCGGGAAAAAGGAACCTTCACTAGACCTGAGATCGTTGCAAGGAGCATCTTTCCAAAATGGCAGTGTATCTTTACCGTTCAAGTGATTTATGTAGCCGAATTCGTGCATTCCTGTCGATCCTGTGTATATATTGTGGACTTCGGGTAGAGTTCCATTTCGCTAAAAAGAAAGAACATTTCATTACATATTTTGAGTGAGAATCATGGATGAAAAATCCTCCTTTCAATATCCTATTTGTCATAAGTGGACGATGTAATCTTATTTTAAATATAATATTTTACTCACATTGATAAGCAATCCCATTTTTTCGCCAGGCCTCTTATATTTCGGATAGAATTGATGCGCCAGCGCAACCAACTTATCTTCATAACCAAAGACTAGTTCATCAGCAGTTATACTAACGAAAGGTTGAAAGGTACCCATACTTAACATTACTGATATGGCTTTTTGGACGAAATAACCCATGTTGTTTGACTGTGTAGATAACGTCTGAAAGTATAAATTACAATTATTACTTTAAAAGTTAACTGGAAAATTCACCGAATATTAAACATGTTTAAAAACATATGCCAGTACGAGTATATGCAGGGTTCGACGAACAAAGCTCAACAGTTGAGAACTCTCGTTAATTGATAAAACTTCATATCGAAACCATCCGAATCACGGATATCATTGTGAAGTCTTTTTGGATGTGGCTCAGGCTTTGGACAGGGTATGGCATAAAGGCATGATTCATAATTTGAACATGTTACTGTTGCGTCAGTACTCAGAACTATTGAAATCCTAGAAAGGTATTTCGAAATACAGGAACCTAGTTTCTAAGAAAAAGGTTCCTGAATTTGCTCAAGTTCTACAAACGTCAGAAAAGGTGACATTATATATAACAAGGCGTTGCTATTGGCAACGGAGTAAACGTAACAAAATCCTTTGGTGGTAAAATTCAAGTTTTCTAATAATTATTTTATGTAACAAATTGACATTTAAAAAAATGCTTTACTGATAGTAAGAGTATAATTTTTACTCCTAATAAAATGAAATATGCAATATACTATTAGAATAATTAATTTATGGCTAATTTAAGTGAAAAAGAAGTTCCGAATATCTTACAACATACTTTTTGTACCTAATGGACAAAACATTGGTACCTCAGAGTCATATCCAATTTGACATCACCGAGTCAATAAAGGGCTTATAATTCATGTCGATTATACATATTTTTTTAAATACGGCTCTGGTGGCCTAAACATGGCGGATTGTAAGCCACAGATCAAGAATTACCTGTGTAGACTGATCCCATTATTCTATTATTTCAGCTGTCTAACTTGTTTCATTGATGGTAGAACTGATGGTTTAAAGATAAAATTTACATATTACTTCTCACGGTGTATTAACTTTAAAACCATTTTAAAAATTCAACAACCAAAATCTCACGAAAACCTTTAACGAATAAGTATAAACCTCATAAATTTTTCTCAGAAAAAACATTCACTTGTTACTTGAATTAAATGAAAATGCTGACAATAGCGGTTGATGTATATTTGCATGGCATAAATGCCTCGAGATATATATGTTTATTTAATGTGAAAAGAATTTATGTCTTTGGGTAAAATTAGCGTCGTTTTACTTTTTATACAGGGTTGGGCACCTGATTTGTGACTGAATTATAGATTGAATATGAAAATTAGTCAAATAAATTGTTTAATATATTTTATGTATTTACTATTTAATAACTTTTGGGTAATTTCTTCATTTGTCATATTTATAAAGATATGAGGTCGTCGGATGAAATTTTAAATAAATATGAATATATTTATATGGTTTTTCGTTAGATCCTTTTTTTCTAAATCCATCACATTAGGATTTGAGGGTTTCTGAGTTCATAATAAAATAGAAAGTAACCATTTATTTAATAAAAATTAATAATTACTTTACATCAATGGAAGTACACAAATCTTTCAAAGTAAGTGTTCGAAGGAAAAGCCTCCAACTGTCTGACAATTCTGACTAATCTAACTAGTCTATGAACAAATGATGTTAAGGCATTTTATAAACTTCAGGTGTTGTTTCTTGAAGAGCAATTCTTATATTGTCTTTTAATTCTTTCAGCGAATGTGGCAGGTCCTTATAAACTACTGCTTTCAAATGGCCCCAAAGAAAAAATCCAATGAGGATAAAACTCAGGACCGTGCTGATATGTCCTCTTCGATCGATCCATCTCTGCAGAAATATTGTGTGCAGGTACTGCCTCATTCTAGCATTGAAATGAGAAGAAGCACCATCTTGCTGGAATCAAATTTCATCAGAAAAGTAATTTCTATGATTTGGAAAGAAACGAACTAACTCTGAAACTACCTGCTCTTGAAGAATTTGCAAATAAAGATCACCTCGCAGAGTTCCTCTCATGAAGAATGGTCCAATATTTATTTCTCTAACTATATCAAACATTTAACTTTTGTGAACAATGGTGTAACCTTCTTCCATCCAGTGAGAATTAAAATCAGACTAATACCGACAATTATGGTTATTTACAAATTCACTGAAACAAAATGTTGATATGTAGGAAAAACAATGTTGTTCATCATCATGTTATTTCCAATAATGACATCCATCATTTCCTAACAGAATTGCATTCGCCTAACTGGGTCATCTTCATTTAATTTTTGGTGTTATTGCATTTTATAGAGATGACGCTTATTGACTTTTTGAATCCTTCTTACAGATCTCTTGCTCATATTATTATCTAACGCAAGCTTGGAAACATAAGTGTTTGGTTTTTACTGTACACTTAGAACAACATTAGGGGAAGTTTTTTCATCGGTGGCTGTCCTCTTCCCTCTAGATATTGGATTGTATTTCACACTTCTTGTTTTATTGAACTTGTTTAAATTTCCAGATACTATAGATTTAGAAATCGGGGAAATCCTGTAAGGAAATGTTTCATTGAACAAATCAAAAGCTTCTTGCAAAGATCTCTTCCTGTCTCCAAACCCAATAATCATCAATAATGTTACTGAATCTTTCATTTCACAGGAGAAGCAAAAACAGGACTGATAGGTTGTTTTTAAAGCGAACGTAGAGAAAATCTTCTTGGTACATGTATATAAGGACACATCGGACTTGGGTGGCTTTAGCACAGAATGTGCGTCTATGGTCACAGAGCGGTGTGATAGTGAAATATCAAATTATTGACTAAAGTCGTTTTTGAAATGAACGATTCAATTCTTTCACGTTCACTCAGTTTAACCATGGTTTAAATTTGAGTAGTATCATATGTTGAGAGTTATTTATTGTCGCGTATTGGGCTAGCTTGGGAGACACGAATAAACTTGCAATTAAACTTAATTTAACCAGAATAAATTAAAATCTACAGATTAATAAAAGGTGACAATATTATAAAAACATTGGTAGTTATTTTTGTCAGAGATGTACAAAAATCGTATTAATAAAACTGAGTAATTAATATCGAGATCACAGATCGTTATTATTCAAATTGGTATATTATGATAGCACAGCCAACTTCAATAATTGAAGAAAAGTCGGGCTAAGTGATTTAAGTGCCAAAATATCAATTTTCATTTTTTTTATCAATATGATCTATATAGTGGTTGAAACCTACGTTCAAAGCGCATTTTTTAATTTTGGCACTTAGCTCGATCACTCTTCAATTATTCAAAACAACGTTTACCTTTCTGTTTTATTATTTTCTTATGATAAGTCAGAGACCAGCCGAACCCCATGTTAATGGATTTAGAAAGAAACGATTTATTTAAAAAATATATATATTTCAGAGCTAGCCTAATGCATTAATGAAATATGTTGGATGTATTTCCAGCAGTAATATTAAAAAAAATTAAAAATAAAAATTCAGGATAAATCCCCACTGTATACTACAGAGTGATTAAAAATACTTTGGAGAGTATTAGACTGCTTGTTGTCCGACCTTAATCCCATTGAGCAACTTCGGGATATGATAAAAAAGGGTTAGAGCTCGTCAAAACAACAGAAAAACTGATTCAATCAGTTCTTGAAGAATAGAGAGACCTTTCTCAGGAAGAAATCAACATTCCAATAGAAAATAGGCTAGAGGTGGAAATACAGATTATTAAAACTCCCAAGAAGTCCATATTTTTATCAAGAATTTGCATTTATTTATAAATTTGCTTCTACAAAATTATTTATAAAATATGTTGAAAAATACTATAATTTGATACCCAACAACACTTTTATCATAAATGCCTTTTTTCCTGAGTGATTCTATATAAGTTTGGTTATGTGTATACCAAGATGTATATATTTTTTAATTCACTTACCAATAAAGGAATATTAGGTACTATGATTTTCTGATGCTTGTTCACAGAAAGTTCAGGAACAAATTGTAGAATTTTTTTGTGCTGAAACGATACAGTGCCGTTGTCGTGGAATTGTATGTTGACCTTCTCCATGTCTTCTCTGCAAAAGAAGAAAAAAGTAATGTAGATATTTATCACTTTTTTCAATATGAAATAGTAATCAATAAACCAGCTATAACTGTTATGTTTTATATTTGCTTATTGTGCCTATTTTTAATTCAACTTAATCAAACAGCAATGCGCTGGTTAGTAAACCACACTATTTAGAAGTCCAACAGACCTATTTAATTTGATAAATACAATTTAAAGATGATAAGAGAGAAGGAAGAAAATACAAGTTTATTATTATCATCATCCAATCAAAAACAATTACAAATACTAAATATTATATGGCGCAGTCAATAGGATGAATGGTATCATCCCCTAGGGTTTTTTAAACAATTTCAATGACACCCTGTGATGTAATGAAAATAGCACCTATAAGTTAAATTTATATACTTTCAAATATAAAGTAAAATAAAACATTTAGATATGCTTAATAATTTAATGGTCATTGCCTACCACTTTTGGTTTCGAAATTTGTGATAATGAGGTTTTTATCAAAACCCATAATCATGTTTATAATAGTCGCATTAAAATTATATGACCGGTAACACGTACACTTACAATATAGGTGGGTCGAAGAATTCAAATTCTTCCAGTAAAATATTTTCCTACAATCGATTTACCAAATTTAACCCGTGTTCATTTTTCAGTTTATTATCTACATAATGAGGTACTATTAATACCAATATAATTACTATGACTATTTAGAATATCTGCGCCCAATAAAGATGATTCTAGAGATGTCTCCAACTGTAAACAATTCCTCAGACCATTGACTAAAAGAAACAATTATATCGAGTCATCCAGCTATTTATTCAAGTTTTCAAATAGATAATAGTCACAGGATGAAAAATCTGGAGAATATGGTGCATGAAGAACCAATGCGTATCATAAATTCATACAATTACTGAGGCCCTTCCCATAGGGCCTCAGTATTGCATTCGTGCAGACGAAAAAATTTATAATTACGATACATATTAAACATAATCATACTCTTGAAACAGCTGAGACACTTCGATTTCTTCAAGCCAAGCCATATGTAAATGATTTGTTTATGAATATTTGAATGATAGTATCCGGGAGGCATATCTGCTGTAATTATTTCTTGTTGGACTTCGGGACAGGCCTTGGGAGGTTGCTCTAGATGAACTTCTGGCCTTATTCCTCTCTTCTTGATTTATAGAACGAACCTGCTTATACAGATTCTTTGAAGCTGCTTTCATTTTGGCTGTGACGTAGCATATTTTGCGGGCAGTTTAAGATTTGTGAGATAGTAGGTTGGGGAATAATATTAATAGTGACCTATTCACTTTCCATGAATCTTATATTGAAATGGTCCTATGGTGTCTTTCTACCATTCCGTCGGACTGCGCGAGAAGATATAAATATGATTTCTTCCTCCAAGTGAGCAATATACATGTCGATTGATCGTATCTCTTTGCTACTACTTTGCTTCAAATCTTCTACCCAGGACAAAATGCTTAATACACAATTTATAAGGAGAACCATTCATGAGTATAACTAAAAACCACATAAAGGGCGAAGTTCTTTGAACATTCTCAGAATACTCCAAACTCATTTGGTCAGTACTTAAGAAAACATGTGTTCATTCATCATCAGGTTTTGAATTCGTCTGACCTATGTAGTTCTCGATAGTATTTATCTATCCTTATTTTAAAGGGAATTACGCATCAGACGTAATAACAAAATAAAGCTTATTGTAATATATCTGTATTCCTTATAAAATATTATTCTTATGTCTTATCTTATCTTATCTTCACTTCTAATTTTATTTAACAAAAAAAATTATAAATAGGAACCATCAGAAGGAAATTTATTCCTATAGGACCTTAAAAAAATTAATTATATTATCTTAACCAATCTAAAAAAAACAGAAGCTTAGGAAAATGTGTATCAAATTAATATATTTAAAATTATTGTTTAGACTTCTTAAATACAGGTCGTATGCAGAAAAAATGTATTCCTCATTAGGGCGTAAATGGCAATACGTATTTAAATTTAGTGAATTTTTATCTTTATTACATAAACCAAGAGCATCAATGGATCGTCAATGAAATAACTGGTTTATTATACCTAATACAATAAACAAATTACGTATTTCAATCTTCACTAAACGTGCCTTGCACTTTTATGAAATTTTCCAATGTTTTCCACCGTCTTTAATCTTATAAATATTTGTGTATTTTGTAACTACAAGGTGATCTGGTTATTATATATTATTATATTATAGACGTAATTTTTATAGGTATAATTACTAAACTCGTAAATTATGCAAAACAAAAACGACTACCGAATTCATAACATTTTTTCACTGTTAATGACATAACAGTAATTAAATTGGGACTATATTTTAAAATTATTTTTCTCAAGAGATGGCAAAGTTTATCGAACCCATATAATCTTAATAGTTTTTGCAACCAGCTGATATATGTTTTATAATTAAGTAAACTTTGTTATTGTATAACCTCTTGTATTAGTCCGGGATCCGTAAGTAGTGTCGACCTTCACCCATCTGTTTAATGGATAAAAGTTTTTTTTTATTAAATAAAATATGTATTTAAATATACCGCAAATAGGTTGCCTAGGAAAATACGGTCACGGCCATTTTTTACTTTCCTTTCTGTGTACAGATAAGGAAAGTATAGGAATCATGATAAAAGTTGCTTATGGTGTCATTCTCTATTATTTTGTTCCTATACATGATTTCCCTAAAATGGACCTAATTCGAGATATTTGAGGAAAAGTGCAAATTTCGAATTTTGAAGATAACTCAAAAACGGATAAAGAGAAAGACACCAAATTTTAAACTTAAGCTTCAATCCATCCTAAGGTGAGCTGATTAAAGTTTAGGTATAGTCAAAGCATCTGGAGAATACTTTACAGGGTGTCGTTTTTTTTACTTGTAAGAAAATAGTCTGGACCGTATTTTCTTAGGCAACCCATTTGCGGTATATTTATAAACACATTTTATTTAATAAAAAGAAACTTTCATCCATTAAACATATGGGTGAAGGTCGACCTTACTTCGGATCTTAGACTATATTAACTAGATTAACATACAAGAATTTTAACTGAGCAAATACGCATAAATAAATGTATATATTGGTTTTACTGACTCCAAGAAAGTCATTGACAGAGTATACAGTGACACAATGAATAGAATACGATTTTTAAGCAATAAATATGGCTGTTACTTTTTGAAATGTGTTTCTTCTATTCTTTTTTCATTTCCATACATATGAACTCCAATGAAAGTTTCCGTTTTTGTTAGTAACTGCCAAAAGTAGGTCAAAATATTTTAAGGGTAATGTCAAAAATAAAATAATATGTTCAGTTGTTATTTTTATGTTTTTAACATTCTGTTTTTTTGCATTTTTGCTTCATTCAATTTGTCAATGTAAAAGAACTATGATACTTACTATTGTATTGGTATACTAAAAACACTATATCTTAACTTATTACTTCACTCTTCTTTGCTGTATCCTTTTTCTATAAAATCTTCCCATCTTTGATTACCTCACCTAACATTTTTTGTCTTGCTTATCTTACTTATTTTTTGCTTCTTTATACAACAAGTCTTACATTTTAGACCGTCAGATAGTGACAGGTTTAGGTGCCCCATTTTCGCATACAAGCCTCGAAGAGGGCTGAAAAGTACATCCATTTTAAGTAGAATGAAAGTAAATTTACGAGTGGCTCCTGGGGATAAGACATGGAAAATTCGATTTTCCCCAACAAAAATGAAAGGTTATTTGTTGTCCATATTTCCACGCAAGCCGTTTTTACTATATAACTAACTAATAGAATTAGCCTTCGGAAAACCAAAGGCTTTAATGTTGCAAGTGGCTAAAGGGTTGAAATAAGGGCGTAATCTTCTAAGGAAAAATCGAGATTTTACCAGATTTTTCCACATAAGCCCATCGAATGTATGAAAATGTACATCGTCACTAGTCCGAAAAATATATTTTCTTGAATGACCTACTTGTATAAGTGCATTTTGGGGTCGGAAAATTTTTCTGATAAGGAAAATCGAATTTTCCATGTGTTATCCCCAAGAGCAAGTCGTAAATTTTATTTTATTCTACTCAACATCGATGTACTTTTCAAAACTCTTCGAGGCTTGTGTGCGAAAATGGGGCACCTAAATCGGTCACTATCTGACGGTCTATTTATTCTTTATTTCATCGTCTATCTTGTTATCTTAGTTTAACTTGCTTTCTTTATTTACCTTCGTTTGCTATTTATCTCCATTTTCAATACAATTATTATTACTTCTAAAATTTGTTGAATGCAAGGGTACCGCCAAGTATGACAAAAGGAACAATTGTCCTCCCTTTCCTTATAAAAAAATTATCTGGTTACAATTTCAAAATTTTTAAAAAAGTTTCCACGGACCTAGCTCCATCTTGTGATTAGTTTTTGATATACAAGGTGTTCCAAATTGGCCATTTCTTAGAAAAGCTTAACTTTTTAACAAAAAACTGATAAACACTAGTCATATTTTCATTTAACGAATAGAATTTGAGTTCATTAAAAGCCGAAAAGAATTTAATTATACCTACATCTCTTTATAAAAAAAAAAAATGCAGGAAAAAGGTTAAGCTTAATTCTATGAAATATTTTTTATGCGTTTCATGATATAAATGTATTATATATCATCCAACACACTTAAAACCTTGTGTCTATCACAAAAACGAAATAAAAAAAAACATAAAGTTATTGGTCAAAAAATGTATACCTACCTACAGTGAAAGGATTACCCCCCCCCCCTTGTTAACACGTTTATTTTAATGAGAAGAGAAATCGCTTGAATCTTAATCGATGCTTTCTATGAAAAATCTGCCTCCTCTTTCATCCCCTCCCCATGACATCCACCCCCCCTTTTTATAAAATAACAAGAGGAATCGTATGGGACTTCATTGAAAATTTAATTTTATTGTGAGTTGAGCATTATTCTTCATTTTCGCGCCCTCT